GCAAATTCTAAAATATCACATTGCTCATGAAAGATTTTTTTACAGAAAGCCCAAAGTTAGAGTGCATAGATATGTGTCTGTTATAAACAATTAATTAATTATGATGCCTACTTTTCATTTGCATGCAAATCATCAGCACCAGTAGTCAGGTTATAGTAAAAAAAAAAAAAAAAAAAAAAACTTAAATATTGAGTGTCAAGTCCTTTGGCATTTACAAGACTGCTTCAACACAATCAGTTTTAACCACTTTTCTTTTTATTTGATTTTGAGTTAGATTAAGATATATTTACTAAATCCCTTATGACCTGCCTTGTGACTCAATCTGTTTTACCCTCTTTTCTTTTTATTTAAGTTTTAATCAGATTAAAATATATTTACTAAATGACTTATGACATGCATGGTGACTGAAAGAATTTTATGTTAACACTTCCTATAGTTGTGGACATGTTTATGCATCTTTATAAATCTTATATTCCTTGATGTTGATGCATATGTATATTTTCAAGATGTACTGACAAATCTTACAAAACTTACATTGCCTGCTCTCAGTGTATATATAAGTTTTCAAGATACTGTCTGTCACTAGCATTTGTTTTATAAACTAACTAGCATTCAGTGCTATTTCCAAACCTGTGTAGATATATAGTGGCATATAATACAATTTGTTTTGTGATGTATTTTTATTATGTTTTGTGTTGAGGTGTTATTTAGCTTAGTCTGTACTGCAGAATATCTGGTCAAAACCAAAATGGTGGCACTCATGAGAACTTGGCATTAGTGTGTTTATCGTCATTTATTGCCAGTAAATGACAATTTTCTATTTTTCCAAAAGTATGTCAGCACAGCCAAGGCAACCATGCTGATAATGAAGCAGTGTAAATGTTAAAAGTTGATATTCACCCAAAGTAAAAAGTCAAAAGACAGCATTTTTAAAGTTGATTTTAAAGGTAGGCAGGTATTTCCCTCATCAGAAGACTGCTGTAACACAAGCTTTCTTCTGGTATGGTGCTCCTACTATATATCTTGAGATTCTTGACAAAATCCACAGAAGGGTCTGTAATATTATTGGTCCTGACTTGGCCTCGTGATTTTGGTAAATTTCACTCTGCTATAATATACCTTTTCTATAAATATTTTCACTAACAATTTTTCTAATAGCTCTTCATTTTAGAGAGAGTGTATGAATTTGAACATTGATAAATAGGTCTTATTGTTTTACTTGATGTAACAATAATTTCTATTCTAATAGTTTCTTTTCTCACACTTCTTGCATGTGGAACTCTCTACTCATTTCTTGCTTCCCTGCCACTGATGTTCTTCAAAAATTTAAATGTCAATCACTATCTTTTGTCTTCTTGAATTCCATTCTTTATTGTCATTTCTCTTCACTAAAAGATTTTCATTCTTTTTCACTCCCAGTAACTCCTTGCATCTTAGTGACATTATCACCTTGCTTGGAATGAAATGATTAAAAACAAATGTATTTGACAAGTGATTTAGGATTTGTGTGTGGGTAGAGGTGTAGGAAGCTAAATATTTAATTCTAATTATTAAGCGTCAAATCATAATTGCCAATGTCATTATGCACAAAAGCTTTGATTTTAAAATGTTCACCTCTACAAACATAGTATCTATAACATGTGTTGTGCATAACACAATAGAAAATGTATTTAACAGATGTCTGAAAGCAAAATAAAAGGACAAAAATTTTCTCTACTCAGTTTTGTTTGCTGCCATCTTAGGATATGAAAGGAGATGGGGAAAATAAATTAGTCTATACATTTTGTTAATACTACCCACACACAACAATCAGGCCTGCTATTTTCAGAGTCAGTGAGAACAAAGTTTATTATTGTTTATCTATATTCAAATCTTAGTCCATACATACATGCACACACACATACATGTATATATATATATATATATATATATATATATATATATATATATATATATATATATATATATATATATATAAATATATATATATATATATAAGCATATATATATCATTTGAACTCTGTTGAGTTCAAACACTGCAGTTAATTGTAAATTCTATAATTTTTTCAATAACTGTAAAGTATGCATCTCATCACAGTTACATACTGTTGTAATCTAGGGAAGGTTACTGAATAGAATAATCAAATGAAGGCTGGTAATGAATGATAATACTTAGGACAAGAACAACACATACAAGATTCGTCAACGGTGCGTAGAAGTAGTCAACTGCTAGAAATGAGTCAAGTGAATTCCACAATGACTCTTCAACTACAGACCAACATACAGTATTTACTGCTGTATTTATGTGAATGGGGACATACACATTATCATCCGAGATATGCTACAACACCTAACCAGTATCTCAGGTTGGGGCAGTTCTCTGCTAATTAAGGAATTATCTCTACTAAAGTTTCATTTAAATAACTGCTCGATAGAAGAAGAAAAGTGAGCTACAAAAAAGCAGAATCAGAAACAAAAGTAAATAGAAACAAAGATTAAACAGTCTTTCGAAAGAATAAATGGATTTATCTTTAATTAATCCAATATTTTTATTACTTCAAATGTTATTTTTAGTGGATATCCATATTTGAATTTAATGTTCTATTTTTCTATTTTTAAACAGTGTATATTACATTTATCAATCTGTGCACTTGAGAAATCTTGATAAAGAAAATGTACTCACCAGCAGAGTTTGAACCCATTTTGAGAAAAAGGATCTGAATGAGGAATTGTGCTTTCCTTAAAAGGGAAAATAGAAACTTGGTGGACTGTTCACTCTCTGTGGCAAAGCAGTGTAAAGTGCACCATTTCAAATGGTGGTTTCTCTAACAAAGGAGGACACAGCACCTTGCTGGAGAGAACATTTTCTTTATCAAGGTTTCCTGAGTATGTGGGCAGATAGATGTAATACACACTGTCTAATAATAAAAACAGGTTATCTATTTCAAATACGGGTATCCATTAAAATAACTTTTGAAATAATTGAAGTCTTTTAAATATTGATGGTCTTTCTACTTTGAAAATCAGTTTTTAATATCCGGCTTTTTAACTTTTTACTTTGGCTTGACCTTGGTGCCATGATAGGCCATGTTTCACTTTTGACAATGAAATTCTGGAACAAACATCTTTGGTGCATGATATTGTTGTAGAGTAAATAAGACACTCCTGGTAACAGGCATGATGCCTTAAATAAAGAACTCAAAGTGAGTGAGTAGAAGTTCATTGGAGTCAGTTGGGAATAATTCTAGTGATGTCACGGCAAGACAATATAACTGCTAGGAGTAAGATACAGATATGCACTGACATATTAGAATTTGTAGCAGCTAAAATATAATCTAAATTTAACTTTTGTTCAATTTTTTGTTTATCTGGTTCATGTTAACTAGAAATAAGAATTTCTGTCATATATCTTGTTTCAAACACAAAATTTACACAGTGTTTAGAATAAATGCACAAATATATTCATGCAAAAATGCAACAAGCTTTTGATAAAAATATACTCCCACTAGGAAAAATGAAACAATAAACACACATTCCAGAGCCTTGTTGGTAAATGGGTGGGGTATATGCAATGGATAACAGCACAGAATGAAAATTTGAGTACCCAGTTTGAATTCCAGCTGGGTTCATTACATTTACTTATGCGCAAATACCTCTTGGGAAAGGTATGAAGCCATCTCTTCCTCCCAGCTATGGGTTAAATAGTAGGACTTCTATCTGGAAAAATCCTTGTTATTCTCAAAACGTTTTGATGCAATATTCACTGACAAAACAAAAAAAATATTCTTACAATCTGAAATGTTTCAGCTTTAAATAATCCATAAAGTGTTGATATGCAATAAAAAAATAAAACAATAAAAACTAGTGGCTATTTTTCTTATAGTGGTGTAAAACAAAAATGGACATTACTATTACATCTGTTCAATGCATATAAAAGAACCAAATATATTGACAGCATTGAAGACTGTAAATACATTTACTACACTGATAACATTATTTACATTATTCGGACCATTGTCCTCATCTTTGTCACCATATTCCAACCACCTGAAGAAGGCCGGAGCGTACAACGACCAAAACATTGAGATAAATATGGCAACAAAGATGAGGACAATAGTCCGAATAATGTAAATAATGTACATAATACCTCATCTCAGAAATATAGACAGACTACACTGATAACATAGACACAAAATCTCATGGTGTTGATCTTTAGCAAAGACATCGGTGAAGCAGACAAAATAGGTTTAATATCTATAGAATTAATTCAATGTTTGGTTAGTGATTTAAAATCTTCGTTTCACATTAGTTAGTTTGGACCATAGATATAATGTTATTTTTGGCTATATGTCCCAAATATGGTGTACATGGCCAGAAAAAGGTTAATGTTTCATTCTGATGCATAATATGTGTTGCAGAATGCATAGACTGGCAAAACTGGCTAACAGTGACTGCTATGACTACTGTCCCTTATAAAATAAAGAAAAGAACATTTTCCATTTTTCATGCAGTCTGTAATGTAGTTTGGAAGTTGTAAGAACTACATCAGAAATAACATGAAATGCAATATGCAAACACCTAAATTTTAGGCTTAAAAATCTGGGGAAAAAAGTGCATATTATGCATGAATCATTAAAGTTGGGTCCATTTTTAAGAAGGATGTTTAAGAAGGACTAAACCCCCTTCAGAAAATCATTTGCTCACCTCCCCACTTCTGTGAATATGATTGACTGACTTCTTCTTTAGGGTTTATCAAACTTTTGCAAGTTATGTAAAGCCAGAAAATATTTACGGATTCTAAAATTTCGGTGAGGTGGGGAGATAATAATGAAATTTCTACAAATTAACCTGTAGCTTGGTGGTGAAAAGGTGGTTTCATACCTTTCCCAAGGTTATTTATGCATAAGTGAATATAACAAACCCAACTGGAATTGAAACTCAGCTCTCTGATTTCCAATTCCAAGGCTTTATCCATGACACCACCCACAAAGACAATCTTACAGCACATATTCTGAAGCAGTCACCCACCTAGGTACTGACCAGGCTCTATGTTGCTTAACTTCAGTGATCTTATGAGAACCAGTGTCACAGTAAGCCAAAAATTGTGTGTTAATTCTTACAGCATAAACCATTCATTAAATATCTTCAGTGTTTGACACTGTTTCACATTCTCCTATACATATTTGTCAAGAGAAAATCTTTTCACAAAATTGTTCCATTTAATTTATTTTATTTCTGGAACTCAATCACTGTTACCTCAAACTGAGCGTTAGAATTCACAGAAATGCATTAACATAAAACACATTTACGTCCCTGTGACTTAAAGGACACACAACACATATACACACACTCAAAACACTTTGGTGATGAGCCAAATGATAATATTTGACTTAGGCTGACATAAATATTGGTCACTCAGTGAGAATCATACTCATTAAATATCTGTGAATCTCACTTTACAATGACTCTTCCATTTTGGAGTACCAAAATATAGCCATTTTTTTTTAAAGTCCAATACTCAAATCATTTTACATTCTATGTCCCTTCAAGCAAGCAGCTTGAATCTAGAATAATAATTTTCTTACAATATTTGAACTTGTATCAGCTACTTATAGGGAGCTTGTCTGATGAAGATAGCTGTTTGTCAGTTAGGCTACAAAAGCTAATCAGCAAACATCATTCAGATGTAGTCATATTGCTATTTTCTGTTAAATGATTTGTATTCTATACATAGTTGTTTGTTTCTAGCTAGTTGTCATAGTAGTAGAAGAGATAATAGTTTTAAGCAATCTGAATGGCTAAAAAATTGATATAATACTGGTTCATCTAAAAACTTTAGAAAATGTAAGGCTACAGTACTATACAGAAATTGTAAAATATTCCCTTTTTGTTTTTAATTTGACTCTGAATTTCTCATTTAAGGAGTTATGATTATTCACCTTATTAACACTTAGACAAATATGCTCATCATTGTTATTATTAGCTCCCCTCTTGGTGTATCACATTGCCACCATATCAATTTGATATTTTCTCTCTGAATTTCTGGAATCAGTTATTATTTCTATAGTTTAAAGCTGAATAAATATCCTAATCTTTGTTGCTTTTAGCTCCTCTTTTGGTGTATCACATTGGATCAATCTTAATGTTATAAGCTCTGTCTGAATTTCTGGAATGAGTTATTATTTCTATAGTTTAATGTCAAATTAATATCCTAATTTTTGTTATTATCACCTCTTGAGGTGTATCACATTGGATCCACCTCAATTTAATATTTGCTTTCTGAATTTGATATTTTATCACCGTATTTCTGGAATGAGTTATTATTTCTATTGTTTAAAGTCAACCTAATATTCCCATCATTGTTGTTATTGACACCTCTCTTGGTGTATATCTCAATGGTTCCATATCAATTTAGTATTTTCTCTCTGATTTTCTGAAATTAGTTATTATTTCTGTTGTTTAAAGTCAAGCTAATATCCGTATCTTTGTTGTTATTACCACCTCTCTTGGTGTTTCACATTAGTTTCATATCAATTTTATATTTTCTCTTTGAATTTTTTAAATGAGTTATTACTTCTGTTGTTTAAAATTAAACTAATATACATGTCTTTGTTGTTGTTGTTGCGGTCACCTTTCTTGCATCATATTCGTTCTATATCAATTTGATATTTTCTCTGAATTTCTGGAATTAATCATTATTTCTATTGTTAAAAATCAAATGAATATTCCCATCTTTGGTATTATTAATGCCTCTCTAGTTGTATAATATTAACTATTTGATATTTTCTCTTAGAATTTTGGGAATTATTATTTCTATTGTTTAAAATCAAGCTAATATCTACATCTTTGTTGTTATTATCACCTCTCTTGGTGTTTCATATTGGTTCCACATCAATTTGATATTTTCTCTCTGAATTTCTGAATTAAGTTATTTCTTCTATTGTTTAAAGCCAAAACAATATCCTAACCATTGTTATTATTAACTCCTGTCTTGGTGTATCTCATTACTTCCCTATCAATTTGATATTTTCTCTCTGAATTTCTGGAATGAGTTATTATTTCTATTGTTATCACCTCTCTTTATGTATCCCACTGGGTCTATACTGATTCAGTAATTTGTCTCTGAATTTCTCAGATGTGGTGTTATCATTATTCAATTTATTTCTCCTGTTTGTTGTTGTTATTCTGTTTCAGCCATTGTGCCCTCTGTGTTGAGTGTTAGAATGCTGAGGATTATCCTTGTTTAGCTGGAGAGTTCACATTGCAGCTAATATTTCTTCTAAGAGGTATGAAGTATCCTTTCCCTCACAAAGGGCATGCTCAACTTTTTCTACTTCCCTTTCTGCTCTCCTGCAACTGTCTGATGTCTTGATTGGTAATCCTGGTGGAATTAGCTTTAGCTTCCCCTATTTTTATAGGAATGTCAGTTTGTTTGACATCTATGCCAATTTTTAAGGGAGTTTTTCTGATAACCTCCATAGATTTATCATATCAGATCCATATTGATGTGTTTGAATTTCTGGGGAAATATACACATTATTTACAGTTTGACTAATATCCTCATCTTTGCTGTCACTATTACTTCAGCTGTTACATGCTCTAGCCAGGTAGTAAAATTCAGGGATAGGACTAGTAATAAATGAACAGTAGTAAGAAGGATCTAGACATGGACAGAGGTCAAGAACAATTTAACCCCTTAGATAACTGCTCTAGTTCAGAATTCTCTGAAAGTTAACCTAATTGCTAGACATCTTAAAAAAGGCTGGAGGGCAGAATAGCAAAAATATTGTGATAATAATGATAATAATGACAAAGTGCACATTAGTGTGAGAGAAAACACAGCACAGAACTTACAGTTACATCTAGACATTTTAACTGTAAAATGATGAGCCCTAGTAGTATGCTTAAGTTCATAAAGTCTAGGTACCAAAGAGGAAAGCTAATCAGAACAGTTTCATTAAAAAATTTACAGAAAAGGCACATGGTAGCTATGTTACGGCAGTAGGAATGTAACTGAAGTTGCAATACATGTCAGTACCTATAATATTTCAAATACTTCTCTGTATTTTATAAAGAATCTCTAAAAACAAAGCAAAAATACCAGTCCAGATGTGGCAGACTTATAAATGTTTAAAATAGATTCTGGCAAGAAAAAAAAAAAATGTATACAAGTTTTAATAAAAAAAAATAATAAAAAACAGGAATTAAGAAAACAGAAGATAATAACTGACATTAAAGATTTTTGAAGATCAAAGTTGATTGGAAAGCAAGAAGCTGGAAGAGTGTTTCATAGGCAAAAAAGTGCTTGAGAAGATTATTATAGATTATATCTAACCATTTCAACTGTAAAACAATGAGACCTAGCTACCAATCTAGTACTGCACTTAAATTCATAAAGAGGAAATCTCATCAGAACATATACTATAGAAGTATTAATAGAAAGTCATGGGGAGTTTATGCTATAGCAGTGAGAAAGTGACTGAAAACTGTGATGCGATGTCTGGATGAATAACAATGCAAATTCATTTTTGCATCAGTTTGATGACAATGTAAATATTGTTTTTCCTAATATTTTTAAAGTATACAGTAGCAAGTATAGAGCTAAAATTAAAAGAAAGAAAATATATAGAAATTTCATTTGTCAAGGTGATCAGAAATATTTTTAATTCCAGACAATACTCGTTCACCTTACTTGTGCTTGAAAACCGAAATATTATCAACACAAATATTAAAATTTCATTTTCAAATACAAAAAAGAAGTTTTTTCTTGATTACAGCAAACAGAAGAGTGAGAGCATGAATGAAACTTTGTAAATTCTGTTTTTAAACTGACCATAGTCTTTTTATCACAATTTTATCTGAAATAACATTAAGAATTTGAATTTTATATCCTTCCCGCCACAATAAATACATTAAAAGTGCAGAGAAACACATCTTTTCTTGTGATACAAATTTTACTTTATTATGCTTACTGTACTTTTGTTGGAATATCAATGGCTTTTTTGTTTTTAAGTTTACTAACCACCATTTTCTAACCATATTTCTATAGCAAAATGATCAAGATTTTCTACGTCTCTATTCTTGATGGCTGTCCCTTATAAACTATCAACCCTATATTTTGTTTTAAAGGGAACTTTTTCTCTTCAAAAAAGAATTTGATTGAATTATTGAAAAAAAAAAAAAAAAAAAAATTTACTACTTAGTAAAATGGTAGACATGAAAAATTGTTTGAACACTATATATGGATTGTTATAAAATTTTGGGGAGATTATGGTTATTTTACTTGTCCACCCATATTATGTGTGTGTATATATATATATATATATATATATATATATATATATATATATAGTACAGGTAAAAAATCTGTTGGTGTATAATCCAAGTTGTTCCTAATAATATAAAATATTAAAACTGATCCACAAAGAGAGCTCAGTGTATTTATTATAGTCTGCTTCAACTGATGCTGAGTACATCAGTCTTGTTCAACCCATGACACAAGTATGTCAGTCTGGTTTAACCCATGGGTTGAATAAGACCAACATACTCGGCATCAGTTGAAATAGACTATACCCAAGAGGTAACTTTGGATTTCTCTGTTGTGTAAACACACACACACACACACACACACACACACACACACACACACACACACACACATATATATATATAAATAGAAATAAAGTCCGCAATTATTTTAAAAAGAATGTATAATGCTTCAATATGTGTATATATATATATATATATATATATATATATATATATATGATGTGCTATACCATTTAACTACAGAGGAAGCGTCTGGTTAGCAAGGTCAAATTACTGCTTTTAAACTGCAAATTTCCCATGATTTCTCTCGAAGGTTCAAATATATATATATATATATATATATATATATATATATATATATATGTGTGTGTGTGTGTGCTCTGATGATTGCATTTAAGCATGATACAGTGTGTTGTCATTGGGTGTTGAATTCAATGTACACTTTTATATTTACATACACTCTACCTATGATATTGAGCATTTTACCCCATAAATATAGCATACATTAAGAATATAGTTTTTTCATATATATATATACAT